AAAAAAAAAAAAAAAAAAGACTTCTAACCACACAGAATGAATGTGCCCAAGGGATCATTTCTAAATCCTCCTTAACCGATTTGTGTTTGAAGCAACTACAAAATTAATGTGCAAGAGAAAAAAATGAGGCATTTATAAAATCAGTCCCCTTGATCAGTACTGAATTTGTAATATTTCATGGCTGCATATCAGCTTCCCTTCGCATTTCAACCCTACTGCTTTAAAGTGCTTCCTACAGCGGTTTTGTCCGTACAGATCTGTAGGAATTAAACTGGAAATAGTTTCAGCACCTAGCTCAGCAAGAGGCACAAGCTGCTCCACTACTGGATTCTCTGGATTTGTCAGGTGAAACAGAATTGCTCATTTGCTCGATTTGTTTAACTCTCTTCCACTCTTCCCGAACACTGTCCAGCAAGTCTGGCTTGAAGATCACATCTAAAGCTGTCATGGCTAATGATTTGGCCGTTCGAAGGGTATAAAACTGAGCTTCTTTTGAGCCTATAAAAACATAATTTTTTAAGGATTACGTAACAGAAGCAAACATCTATGGTATAATTTTAGAACAAAGCAGGTAAGGCATATCTACATCACTGCGGACTTTATTACTGAAAGGATATTTCAACACACATAACCTTGGGGGCAGATAAAAGGTTAATCCACCCAAGAGGACTAGTGGACTAAGGTGACCTAATGGACTTAAGTTGGCTGTACACCAGTAGAATTTTGCTCAAAAAATCTGCATTGTTCAATTGTTCGATCCTCTAATAGTTAATGGGGTTAAATTGACAATTGATTTCAACCATCATGCCAAAAAAAAAATATCGAAGGAGTGGTATGGAACATTTTTCTCAAATGAACAAATTTCTAGCAATCTGGTTTTCATTTGAGAAATTCCAATAATTCCAAAATTAAATAATATCTCTCTGATAAGAGTCACTGATGGCATTATGTCTCTGATGGCATTATGGAATGTTCTGATAAGCTTTTTCATATAAAAGTTAATTTGAAAATCTACCAGTGTATATCCAGCTTAAAGAACTCTGGGAAAAAAATGTTCTTAACCTTTGCAGTTGGGCTACCCCCACAGTGCAAGGGTTAAGTGCTCGCTTTCATATAGGTGCGAAAATAAAAAAAGTTATACTCACCTGATCCTCTAAGCCAGCTTTTAGACCAGTCCTAGGAGCCTCTCTCCCCCTCTGCTCTAGAAGTCTAAAGCTGGCCACACACCTAAAGATTATCTGCAGATTTTCTGTGGTCAGATGGAAAAGGTGAAACAGATCCCTCCATCTACACTTAAATGTGTGGATGGAGTAATCTCCCCCTGGCCAATCTGTTGCGCTTTTTCCATCTGACCACAGAAAATCTGCAGATAATTGTAAGGTGTATGGGCATCTTAAGGTCCTGTGGAAGGAAGCTTTTTAATAGCCAGCCGGCTGTGAGGTGCAGATGAGTATAAGTTTTTTTTATTTTCACACCTAGACAAAATGAGCACTTAACCCAAGGGTTAAGAATAGTGAGGCTCTTGATAGGCAGATCCCGCTGTCAATCAGCCAGCTAGATCTCAACAGTATTGTCGGGATCTGCCTGAGGCCCACTCACTAATACAGAGAAAGTACATACCAAGAACAGATAATGTAAATAAAAGAAAAACGGTTCCATATTCACATCTCTGTTTCAAATACATACCGGCAGCTTTTGTGTACTCTTCAGTGTGATTAAGTGCATTCGAGCCGATAAAGAAATAAGGGTGAATTCCAGGGACTTCAAAAGTAACATTTCCAAAATCTGTAGAGCCTGCAAACAAAGAACAAACAAAAACTTCTGTTTTTTTAAATTAATTTTGACAGAAACTGCACTCACAGTTACTGAACTGAATGGTGCACTGAAGGGACGAGTAGTTTACACAAGAAAGATTAAGATGTCTGTGCCTTCTTTGCAGCTCACATGAAGTAACAAGGACACACAATTTCTAGCACAATGAACAGGTATTTCCTGTACTTGTTGAAAATGTTCTTAGCAGGAAATAAGAAAATGAATATAGCCATTACATCTAAGGGCTGGTAAGCTACAGTATAATTAGATTTTTGTACTCACCATAAAACCCTTTTCGTGGAAGTTCATTGAGGGACACAGGATTCCGAAACCATTGGTTTATATTGCTGCCTACACAAGGAGTTGGACACTGGCAAGCAGTGATCTAGTCTGGTAATACCCTTTCCACTCCCAGCATCCCTCGGTTTTGTAACAACCAGAAACACAAAACGGTGAAACCTGTGTCTCTCAAAAGCCATTTTATTTCTTATTCATTCAGGGACACAGGATTAAGGGACTCTCAAAAACAATCCAACTGATGGGTGTGCAACACAGCAAACAAAAATGCTAACAGGCTCAACTATAATAAAAAATACCCAAAAATTAGTGCCTACAGCTATCATCACCTGAGGCCTTAACATTCACTTAGTAAATCTTAGAGAATGTGTGAACAGAAGACCAGGCGGCAGATTTGCTAATCCGGGAAACAGTTGCCTGATGATGAAAAGTCCATGAGGCACTCAAACATCTAGTAAAGCGCATTGTGACAAAAAAGGGTGGAACCCAATCCTTAGACTGTAAACTTGAATATTAATTTGTATCTGTTTGTAGACTGCCCTTACTAAACTTTTCTAAAGGTGCCTTTGTTGTCATTTTAAAGTTATTGGTAAAGTTCCTCTTGAACACCACCTTGTTCTTGTGTAAGACCAGAAATGGCTCTCTACAGGACAAGGTCACCAGTTCAAAAACACACCTCACTGACGTGTTGGCAGTGGTAGATCTTGCGGAAAGTGTACTTCCTGGCTTTTATTATTGTGGGTATTACCAAGTCAGAGAGGTCTCTTGTCCTTTAAGACCTGGGTTTCACCAGCTATGCCGTTAAAGCCAACAACTGTAAAGCAAGACAGTAAACCAGTCCCTGGGACATATAGGCTTGATCTGGAAGAGCGCAGGCAGCGTCTGCTAAGGATCTGATCAGGTCAGATAACAACATTGACCTGTACCAGTTGGGAGCTATGAGTATCACCGGAATGCCCTCCATTTCGATCCTGTGGAGCAGACGTGGAAGGAGTTTCAGTGGAGGAAAGGCATAGATTAGGTTGTACTGATCCCACAGAGCCACCAGAGCATCTACCGCTGCCACCAGAGAATCTCTGTACCTGGAGACAAACCTGCTTGTTTTTTTGTTGAATCTGGTGGTCCACATCCAGCATCCCTCACATGTGACACCGGTTTCACTTCCAGGTGTCCCTCAGGTCCAGGCGCTGCTGGCTGAGGAAGTTTGCCTGCCAATTATCTATGCCTGAAATATGAATGGCAGACAAGGCTGGAAAGTGAATTTCTGACCAGGACCGAATCCTTTTTACTTGTCATGCTGCAACAAGACTTATGGTTCCTCCCTGGTGATTTATGTATGCCACTGCTGTGGCATTGTCCAACTGAATCCTTACATTCGAGATGTCCAAGTTGAAGGAACAACCAAGTCACTCAAAGCTCCAGAATGTTGATAAGGAGCCAGGATTTTTTCAGTGTCCAAGTCCCCTGCAAAGACAAAGGGTCTGGGACACTTCCTCTAGCCTATCAGGCTGGGATCCACTGTGATGATCTTCCAGGGTATTGAAAGGCTAATCGCTCCATGAATAGAGGACTAATCTGGAGTAAACCTGGATCTCTTGCTAATGCCAATGAGTTTTGTCCATTCCCCTAATGATTGACAGACCAACATAGGAGCCATGGCAGATTTAAATTCAGGGTATGTTAGTGAAAACAAGGCTTTGGTAAAAGGCTCTAAACGTTTATCTATAGGATCCTAAATACCAGTGTGCCCTCTACAGGAATTGTCAGTGCTTTGTTAAGGCGGGACACCATCGTTTCATCTGTGGGAACCATGTACACTTTGATGAAGGCCTCTTTGAGGAGTTGGAAGCACCTGACACAGTGGGTGTATAAACTCTATGGAATATGTTATTCCCATGTAAAGCAGTTTAAAAGATAAATAAAACTGAGCCCAACTCCAGCTTTCTATTGTTTAAGATATTTATAGAAGGTATTTTACATAATGTGCTAAAAGATCTGACATTTTGCACCAGCATACAGTGGGCAGGCCTAGGTCTGGCCATGTGCTGATTGCCAAGCTATATACTTTTGAAACTATATTGACAATGCCGATAGTTATGCTCCCTGCAACATCTTCTCATTCCAATGTAGAGTGGAATGAGAGTGGCTACTCTGCTCTGAACTTAGTAGTGCAGAGTAGTGCAGTATAGTTGCCACACCATCACAGGCAGCTGCATTTGTTGGACTTCCCTGGCAGGATCAATAGGTATTTGGGGGACTTTGCAGGGGGACTATTTAAAACTGTAAGTGCAGATGCACTTATAAATAAGAGTTCTCACAAATGTTTTGCTTAATATAGGCTTTTTTCCAAATTTTTACTGCTCACTGTGATAGCAGGACAAGAAATGAGGGAAGCAGTTGCCAATAGGACAGACAGTAATAATACCCTGCTACAGGTTTTATGCCTTCCCCATTCTAAAAAAAAAGTGTTTTGCTGCAGCCTATGCCCCCAATGGAGAGCATTCCTATCACTTGCTGTCCCAAAAATAAGTAGGAAGAAATCTCGCCAACGGGCACACAGATCACAGTAAACCTCACAGGATCTTCTCCCTTCCCTACTCTGTTTAAAAAGAAAAAAACAACTATTTTGGCTGGAGCTGTGCTTTAACCAAGAATTAACATCTGCATTTAAATGCTACATACATTTCATTTTACCAAATATCAGGTTGATAAGAAGACATGTACATACAAATAGGAAGACATGTACATACAAATTACCTGACAGTGCATTTAATACTAGCTCATCTGTCGTAAACTGCATTCCCAATGTTTTGCCATTCTCATTGTAAGCTTTTGCCAGTATTTTATTTGGAAGCACATTGTAATAATCATGACTAGAAGGGCATAGCTCCACCTGCAGGGAAAAAAACAAAAAAAACAATGTTTATCTGTTCACAGACTTAAGTGGGGATCAGATGTGCAGGCATGATTTGAATAGATTTTTTCACTGACTAGTGCATATAAACACATTCTGGGACCACTCAAGCATGCATACGTATTATGCCTGTGGAGGCATAATAAACATGCAGGCTCTGTACCTTGTGATGGCTGATTAGTTATCACAGCGCTCACATGGTAATAGGGCTGCAACCAACTAATTGATTAATCGATAATGAGAATAGTTGTCAACGATTCTCATAATCGATTAGTTGATGTGGATCCCCTAGTTCTCTCCTCCGTTCTGGGAGCCGTTATTTCATCGGCTCCCTCTGATCCCTGGAGCCCCCAATGGGCTCCCGCTGGAAGCGCACTGTATGCTGTGGTTTGTGTCCCCTCCAATCCTTGCTGCTCTCCCCACCTGTATCGGCAGAGTCAGCGGGGATCAGAGGGGACACAGACCGCTTTACCCAGCACCCAGCTGGGAAGAGAGACCAGCTCTCAGCCAACGCCATTGTGACTCTACATAGGGTGCAATAGCCAGCCTTCTACTTGCTATTTCAAATTGCAAAAGCAGAGTGGTTATTGCACTCCGCTCATTGCCTGCTGTCAATCAGCAGAGGTGTGGACCTGAATAAGAACTTTCTCCTTCAGTTCCTTACTCTGCTGATTGACACCAGGCAGTGGGTAGGTAAAATAGCCAGCCTGCTATTGGGTATTGCAATTTGAAATATCCAATAGCAGGCTGGCCAGTGCACCTGCCCACTGCCTGCTGCATTTATATTCAGCTGCTGGCTGCGGAATCTTGCCACCAGCAGCTGTTATTCCCCCGCTGAAGCTATTCAAGTGAGGTGTGCACTTAAATAGCTTCTTTGAAGTCGAAAGGTAACACTAGGGGTCTAACACTAGACAGCTTAAAGAGAACCTGTCCCCTCCAATGTGCTATCACATAGGGGGCTTGGAGCCACCCCATGTGAAAACAATGAAATAAAAAAAAAAAGGTTAAAAACATAAAGTTAATAAAGTACATTGCGGTGTCATCCATTTCAGTGGCAACGAACCTCCCGGCCGCAGTGCGATCGCCTGCACTGGAACTTGTAGTACCTCAATGCTGTGTATTCCTGTGTGAGTGCAAAACATTGTGCATGCAGTTTTATTCTGAAATAAATTTTTTGTTTGTAACACTCCATTTGTGTATTTTAAATAAAAGATGGTCTTTAGTTAATTTTATCCGATTTTTTGAAAAAATTAATCGGCCAACTAATCCATTATAAAAATAATCGTTAGTTGCAACCCTACATGGCAATGTTTACATTGCCAAGCCCTCCCCTTCCTCTTATAACAGAGGCAGGGGAGACTAATGGAACTAATCAATAAATTAGTCATTCATTCAGTGCATGCTGAAGCGCACAGTGCGTAGAAGTCACCAACTTTCTGCAGAGTCAATAGCTGCAGACCTCCAAACTTCGTGTGCCCTTCAGATTGGCACAACAACAGTATGAAGAGAGCTTAATGGAATGGGTTTCCATGGCCGAGCAGCTGCATCCAAGCCTTACATCACCAAGTGCACTGCAAAGCGCCGGATGCAGTGGTGTAAAGCATGCCGCCACCGGACTCTAGAGAAGTGGAGATGTGTTCTCTGGAGTGACGAATCACGTTTCTCTGTCTGGCAATCTGATGGAGGTGTCTGGGTTTGGCATTTGCCAGGAGAACGGTACTTGCCTGACTGCATTGTGCCAAGTGTAAAGTTTGGTGGAGGGGGGATTATGGTGTGGGGTTGTTTTTCAGAGGTTGGGCTTGGCCCCTTAGTTCCAGTGAAGGGAACTCTTAAGGCATCAGCATACCAAGACATTTTGGACAATTTCATGCTCCCAACTTTGTGGGAACAGTTTGGGAATGGCCCTCTCCTGTTCCAACATGACTGGGCACCAGTGCACAAAGCAAGGTCCATATAGACATGGATGAGTGAGTTTGGGGTGGAGGAACTTGACTGGTCTGCACAGAGTCCTGACCTCAATCCGATAGAAGACCTTTGGGATGAATTAAAGCGGAGACTGCGAGCCCGGCCTTCTCGTCCAACATCAGTACCTGACCTCACAAATGTGGTTCTGGAAGAATGGTCAAACATTCCCATAGCCATTCCTAAACCTTGAGGACAGCCTTCCCAGAAGAGTGGAAGCTGTTGTAGCTGTAAAGGGTGGGCCAACTCAATATTGAATCCTATGGACAAAGACTGGGATGCCATTAAAGTTCATGTGCGTGTAAAGGCAGGTGTCCCAATA